AAATAAAATTTACAACTAAATAAACCCCCCAAAAATAAAATAATATAATAAAAAATTAACGTTATTTGATGATGATGATGATGATGATGATGATGATGATGATATGTATTTTATTTACACGTTTTCTTTCTTTCTTCTTTCTTTCTGTGTACTACTTTTGTTCTTTCTTTCTTTGTTTGTATTCATTAATAAAGTTATTATATGTTATTAGATTTAAACAACTTTCCAATTGAAGAATTGTTATTATTGGCCATTGTTACTTGAGCACATTGAGCAGCATTATCACTTCTTAGATGTCTATTCAATGCGTCTAACCTGGCAAAAGCACGACCACAATTACCACAAACGTGTGGTTTAAGACCCAAATGTAATTTTTGATGACGCTTTAAATCATGTTGCCTTGCAAAAGCTCTGGGACACCCAGGATAAGTACAAATAAAAGGACGTTCATCCGTGTGAGTTCTAAGGTGAGACTTTAGATTGTATTGACGTGTAAAGGTTTTAGAACAATGTTCATGGGGACAAGCAAATGGTGCAAGAGATTTAGATGACTTTCTTGGTTGTTTGGTTTTTGTTGTTTTCTGTGGTGTTGACGTTGAAGCAGGTGTTGGTATCGTTGATGATGATGATGATGATGGTAGCAACGGTGACAACGATGACGACGATGATGTAGACATGGCTGTTATTTGGGAAAAATCATCTTCGATTTGAATACGTTGTTGTGAAAACTCGCTTGGTAAAGATCTACGACGATTTAGTTGTTGTTGGAATGAAATTTCAGATTTTATGGGTGTTGTAGAAGAAATCCTACGAAGAAAAATGGCATCGTCAAGTGATTTGCGTCGTACGGCGTCAGAAACAAAACTTTCAAAATTGAAGTAGTCTCTTGCATCAAATGTAAAAGCGTCTAAATCAAATAATTGGTGATGATCATCATTTTGTGATTGGTTAGATGTAAATTTTTCTTCTGATATTATTGAGTCAGGAGTTGGTGATAAAATATTAACATATGATGGTTCTACAACATTATGCAAGGAAAAACAATCAGTCAACGGAGATAGCATTGGTGTACCTGGATTGATCGACAAAAAAAGGGGAAAGGTAGGGGAATTGATATTATTAATCATCATCATCATCATCTGTATAATTAACTATTAATTATAACAACTTAATTAATCAAAATTCTTTACCTGTTGGAGAATAAGATGATAAGGAATTTATAGATAAATCCTTCGTTAATGATAAAGCGATATTATAATCATGATCTAGAGGGCATCTGGAGGATTCCAATTTAATTGGTAGTGATGAAGGATGTTGGTGATGGTGGTGATGGTGGTGGTGATGATGGTGATCATTGTTACTGGTATTTGTGAAATCAGAGGGATGAGACGTAGAAGTAAAGGTTTCAGTAAGATCATTCAAATTGGAACATGATTCAGGAGGCGAAATTGGAGACAAATTATTGTTGTTTGTGTTATTGGTGGTGGTGGTGGTGGTGGTGGTGGCGGTGCTTGTGGTTATGGGAGTGGTTGCGGGAGCGTCAAATGCAAAAAATGGAGGAGGATAATAAAAATAATTTTCGTTTGTCATAGAAAGAGATTCGATGAATTGATTCTCGGGATAGTTGATGTTGATGTTATCAGGATTGTAATAAGTCATAAATTTTCTTTGAATTTCTTCTGGTGAGTAGCTTGATTGTGGAATAGGACTTGGGCGACCAAGAGCTAAGACGGAACAAGCCCCAACTGTTTCTTTTAGTTGTTTCATTATGATTAATATTATTCCGTTATGATTATTATTTTATTAAAATAAATATTTTTTTGATTATTAATTTTTTTATAATTTGTTTTCTTTGAACATAAAAATTAATTGAACATAAAAAAATTAATTCTTTATAATTTTATTTTCTTGAACATTAAAAATTATTTTTGTTGGGATTTTTTTTTTTTATTATTCCATCAAATAAAAAAATTTTTTTTTCTGTATTCAACCTATTTATATTACTTTTTTTAAATTAAAATAATATAATACAAAATTTTTTTCAACAGGTATTTTATTTATTTTATTTGATTTACCAAAAGAGACGATAATATTGTTTCAAACTTGTTTAATTATACAATTCTATTCTAAACTATTATGTGAAATTATTATGTTATACGAAAAACTGGGAAACTTAAATCATTATTAATTATTAAAAAAATTTATTTAAAAATTTATTTGATTATCAAAAAAAAATTTTATTAAGTCTGTGTGAAAGTATTGAAAGTGTGAGTGATAATATTTATGTGATTTTAATGAATTTTATGTGATTAACCATCGTCATCAACGGGCTTAGTCCACCAGCATTACTTTAAAAGTCAAAGGTGGGTTGTATTTTAAGTAGTCGTTATTAAACATTACTTCTTAGTGGGAATGTTCATAAGCCTCTAAATTTTTTCTGTATAATTAAAATCTCACATTGTTGTTTATTTTTATCCCCACACCCTCCATCATCCACTTCATTATTTATCATCCATCTTGAAGATGTTGTTGATTGGTAATTTGTTGGTTAACTAAAAAAAGGAAATAGAAGTCAATTATCCAATTTAGATTTAATTGGGAAGGGGACAATCTAATTATTTCTAATGATAATCAGATCGAATTTAATATTATTTTATTTTTGCAATCACACAATCACACGCGAGAATTTCTTTTCTTTAATAGTCAATCATTATCAGAGAGAAGTTAGTAAATATAGCATTAATCGTAATTTTCTATAATTTGTATAAATTTGTCAATTTATGCTAACTAAATTAACTAAGCCATTAAAAAATTTTTACAGATTAAAAAAATTTCAAGTTTCTTGTGTATTATTGTCACCATGGATGGAAAATATCCGCTTGTAAAAATTATAAATAATTTACACTGCCATCCTCTTAACAATTACGACCTTTAATACGAAGAATGATAATGATGATGATGATAATAATAATAATAATAATAATAATAATAATAATAATAATAGTAATGATAATGATAAATTGTCCAAAGCAGATCAGCCGCAACTACTTGAACACGAAAGAAAACAATTTCATCATCATTCACTTTAAGAATCAAAAGTAATAATTTAAAGAATCATTTTTTTTAAAAAAAAAAAAAAAATGGACAAAAATTTATTTTTGGAAATAATTCTTCGATTCGTCATAATTCGACAATCATCACAATATATTAAAATTAATTATTGTCACAATGAATTATTTCATTAACAACACAGCCATGATTGGAGAGTGAGAGAGAAGTCGAAGAGAACTATTTATTTTTATTGGTTTCTAGATTAAAGGATCGTAAATCTTGTGATCGTAAAAAATTTTTTTCTTGAGCACAAACTATGATCGGAATTGTTTATGGTTAACTATAAACTTAATGTCAAATTTGAATTTGACATGCAGTAGATATATTATTTTGGTAACACTATTGAAATAAAGTTGAGCTCTATTGATCATTGGATGTGTGATGAATGGATGGATGAATGAACGAACAATGTATGTTGTGTAGGAAGGGAAAAATATTGAAGTGACACATCGGATAAAAAATGAATTTTATGATTATATGGGTTATGTGAATTGTATGAAATCATTATATTAATTAATCTATGTACATTAAATCCATCTTTTTAAGAATAAAATTTAAGCATCGCATACATTCTGAGTTTATTAAATTATTATTTTAGAAAATTTTTACGTGCATTTTATTTATTTGCTTTTTTTATTAATCTACCTACATATAATACTACGCCTTAATTATCATCAGGAATAAAAACCGGTTACACAAATAATCGAAAGTTGCCAAGGAAATAATAAGAATATTTATTTATTATAAAAAAAAAACTGAAAGATCATTATTACAACAATGAGAACGAAAAAAAACTAACTTTGACCGTGAAAAACAATTAATTAATGTGCATTTAAATTTTTAAATTTAAATGTTTCCTTTTAAAAATTAATAAAAATTCTCAAGTTTGAATTGACGATTTTTAGTATGCATTACTATTACCAAAACATTTTCGAAATATATTTAAAAGTCGACTGGAAACTAGATTGGGGGACATTTGAGGCCAGTGATGATGATATTTCTTCCAGGAGTTTTGTTACGAGAAAAAAATCCTTACTATTTACCTATTGCGCGGATTAATTGAAAAATTTGAAAAATCCATATTAATATTTTTTTATTACCCAAATTTGACTAGCTTTTTTGAGCATTGACTCCCTCGCTCTGATGATTCGAACTACTTTTCACCTGCATATGAGGATCGACACATGGGAACAAAAAGTAAAACGCCACAATATTTACCAGTTTCTTGTTCCTCCAAAAGCATAGATTAGGCGTGGTTTGTTTTCTTTTGAGCACTGTCTCCAGAATTGCAAATGCAAACTTGCTCCTTTAGAAAAGAAAATCTTATCTAGGAAGCATGGAATACGTTAAGATAATAATAATCGCAAATTACTGATTAGTGTACATTAATATGCACTATTTCTTACTTGGGCGAAAACCAGTTTTGCCAACCATACTCAAAAGTCAATAGTTTTAACTTATAGTTATACTGGTTTTCCGTCTCTAATAAATTCTTTACGAAATATAAAATTTCAGGGTTCTCTATTATTATTGGCTAATTTACTTTCAATCACTCTGATTGGCCGGTAAAATACGTGACAAGTTCGATTTTAAATGATTTGTAAATTTAATTTTAATCCCACTTTATCATTAAACTTCAATATATATTTTTATAGCCAAGGAAATCTAAAATATTTTTATAATAGGTTGTATTTCTAAAAGAAAATCAATTTACAAAAACCCAACAATGAATCTCATCATTTAATTGACCTGATTCTCCTTCTACATCATTCAAATTTAAAGTACATATTCATTTATATTCTCATCAATTTCAGTATCAATTTTTTGATTTTTTTTCCACCAAATAAACCATTAGAAGTTCTCTCTTGATGATGATGATGACAGCGAAGATGAGGACCTGGAAAAACAAACTGATAAATGTTCCATTAGAATTAAGAATAAAGAAAAATGCAGGTGTTGAAAAGAAATGCAAGGACCATATATGATTGAAGAAATTAAAAAACAACTTGGTGTGATAAATGTGGATCATTCATCAAAGCTGCAGCTGATATTCCAAAATTAGAAAAATGGTTTGGTCTATCAACATCTAAAGGGATCAGCCTTGATAATGTTGACATTAGAGATGGTGATAATGTTGAAGATGTTGAAATTAAATAAAATCCTGTAGAGCAAAGGTTAAATTAAATGCTCTTTGTGAATAATTTAAAAGAGAAGAGTGTTGTTGAAAAGAGCAATTTTTGAATTTTTAAAAAGAAAGCCAATAAAAATTGATTTTCCTGATGAACCATTATACACAGAAAGAAATATTAGAAATTTGACTCCAAGCTGGATCACTTCCAGCATCATGTAGAGGACAACACCAAAAAGACCATTTGAATTATTGATGATGAAAACATGGTTAAGAATCATAACAGAAAGATTACACCCATGAAGTTTAAAAATTTTTGCTGATGAATCTCTTCTTGCAGAGAATATTCAATTAGCTCAAGTATTGCATTATGTTGGTTAGAGATTTTAGGTTATAAGTGTCAAACACAAAGCAATCCCTATTTTCAATGTACTTTTTCAAGATTGCATTAGAGTTATACATGCAGCGCAAATTGGTTTGGTGATTTTGATGGTAGAAAGTAGAAATTAATTACAGCATTCACTATTAAAAACATAAGTGTAATACCCCTTTATGACTATACATGCAGCCCAAATTGGTTTGGTGATTTCAATGGTCAAAATTATTCCAATTTTGATGGTAGAAAGTAGAAATTAATTATGGCACCCACTATTAAAAACATAAGTGTAACACCCCTTTACTACATGTGTAACCTCCTTTATGACAATTTTAAAATACTTTGGGCTGCATGTATATTTATGACATGTGTGACCCCTTTATGACAGTGTCAAAATATTTGATAACAGTTCTAACCATGGTATTTACACTGAAGATGCTTTTGTTGAAAGTTGAATGCTGATGGAAGTGCAAAAAAATGTATTATATGCGACCTACTTTTATGGTTCAATTGATGGTGTTTCCAAATTATTATAAAATATAGCACTTTGAGGGTATGAAAACAGTTTTAACTGAAAGAGGATTGTAGAAAGAAAAATTGCTGGCTGATTTGCAAGTTATGTAAAGAAAAGGTAGTTGATGATAATAGAATTGATTGCTGTGCATGAAGAATTATTTCTTTGCAATCAGGTTTTACAAAAAAGCCTCTTAGAAGAAGTTGTTGAAAAAGTTGGGCATAAAATCTTTTTTTATCCTAAATTCCATTGTGGACTTGATTCTATTGAAAGGTATTGGGGAGCTACAAAAAGACAAACTTGACTATATTGTAACTATTCTTGGTCTGGTTTACAATCAGTAGCTCCTAATGCTCTATATTCAGTTGATACAATTAAAATTAGAATATTTGCAAGAAAATCATTTAGATATGGGGCATGCTGCAACAAAACCAGACAAAGTGAACATTGGTATTACCAAGGATTTCAGGGATCAATATCGTTTTTTAACATCACAATTATATTATCATGTAATGTGATCATGATATTTGTCTAGACAAAAATAGTTAATATGAAACTCATTTACATAAGGTCTACTATGGAACCCAAGAATTACAGCACCATTAGAAGTATTTTGAAAAAGGAACAAGGTGAGAAAATTGCTCCTTACATTTTTAAATTAGCAGATACCAAATCTTTGCAAACATATTTAGACAAAGAAAGGATTACCTATGAAATTTATCAAGAGGAAAGAGTTTTCAAAAGAGTATTAGAGAATTCTAGTGAAAAAAAGAAAACTGGCAGAATAACTTGATAAAACAAATAATTACTTTTTTTTCAACTTTGTTAATTTTTAATTTTCAATAAAGGTCATTTTTTAGTTTCTTTAACTTCAATTTGAGCAGTTAATTGACCATTTTGTTGTTGTAATTGAGTTAATTGAGTTTTTAACTCATTTATCTCTTTTATTAATTCTTGTGGAGTTAATTCTTTTAGTTGTTCATTTTCTTTTTCTAATTGCTTAATTCAATCTAATAATTCCTGTTTCTGTCTTTTATGCCAATCTTCAGCCAATTCTAAGGCTTCCAAGTGTGTATCTATTTCACCTTTTTGTCAATTTTTTCATGCTTCAGCTGTATTTATTGCTTCAGCTAAGTCTTTAGCACTTTGTTCTAATTTCTCAATGACTTCAAAGACAACTTTATTTAATTCCTTCTTTGTTCTGCCTGATAATTCTTTTAAATCTTCCAAGTCTCAGCAATGAAATTGGTTTTCTCAAGAAATAGAATTAATTTCTTCCTGTTCCTTATGTCAAACTGATAAAGTTTGTTTCTAAATTTTCAACTTGCTCCTTATACCTCCCTAACCCTTCAATTCTCTTCTCAAATTCTTTTCTTTGATTGTAAATTTGATAACCTCTTCTGCTTAGGTAATAAATCTTACTTACTTGTTGATCAGAATGTGGCAGATGAACATTTTGGGCTCAATCATAACTATAATGTGCAGTAGCATTAATACTGCAATATTGTGTTTTACCCTTTGAATAATGTTGATTAACTAATTTTCTTTGTTCTTCTGCTAATTTGGTATTTTTATTATTCTAATTTGGCTTTAGACAGATGTTCTTTAAACCTTTTGAGCAAATCTTTAACTTCTTCCTCTTGGTGAGCATTATAATGTAAACCATCTCTAAAATGCTGACAAGTATCACACAAGTCAGTCCTTGGACTCATAATTTGAATTTCTGGTGTTAATGGATGTCATAATTTTCTGAAAGCATCATATTTTAAGGATTTCATTTTGCTATCTTCCTCTAGACCAGCCAGAAAATCTCTGTGCACAGATTTATAACTCATTTCAGCTGGTAAGAATACAATTGATTGAGTTATTTTATTGTTACTTCTTCCTGGACTTTGCAATCCATGGACTTTTGGATAATTTTCCAGAAAATTCTTTATTACTTCAGCAACATCTTTATCAATCACCATTTTAGTTTTCCATTGAGGCATTCTTTTAATATTGCCATGAGTTCTTGGCAGAAGACCATTTTTTATCAGATGCATTTCTAATATTTTCAAAATAAGTCCTGCCAATTCGTAACATATTGAGATAAGTTTCTTGACAAAGAGGTGTATAGTGATTCCAGTGGTAAAAAGTTCTTTTATTGGACCTGGTTTTCATTTTAAGACGTCTACTGGTGCTTGTTGATCCACCATCCATTGAGCCATTAAAAATATGTCTTGTTCCAGTTTAGAAAGTGCTTGAAAGGATTCTCTTAATTCTGCAAATTTTTCTTTTAGGATTCTTGAAGAACAACCACAATTACATCCTTTTTCTAAAAAATCAATTGCCTTTTCATATTCATTAGAACCATTATGGTTATTATTTACATTATTATTTTTCATATACCTATAACCCTATATATATAATTTTGTAGGTTTTTATTTCAAATAAATTGGCCAAAATCCTACTTATGTAGACAAAAAAATGATCAATCAAAGTAATGCTTTATTTCTATCTGTAAATTCTTTTAAAGCTAATACTAAGCATACATCGGAAACACAAAAAACTTCTTTATTTTTAAAAATTAAAGAATAGTTTTATCAATCAATGTAATAAAAATTTTTGATCAAGTATTTTTATATATATGAAATAAATTTTTGTGTTCATTTATAATATCTATCATCTAGCAAAGAGGTTTTAATCTCTTTTATAAAGTATGCAAAAAATGTTACAGCAAAGAAAATATAAAGTTGTATGTTTATGTTTTTGATTAGACAAAAAACATTTAACCACTTCCTTCTGTGCTTTTAGTTGTTTCTTATGATTCCCTGTAAAAAAGAAAAGGCAGACATTATAGAAACACTTATGCAACATAACAGCAATAAAATAATGAGAATTGAATAATGAATGCCACTTATAGGCGAATTTTTTTATTGCTACCCAGACCACTAACTTGCATTTGCAGGATAGAGGCAATATAATTAGCTATTTTCTTTGCATCTGTCATATCAAACTTACAAAAACGAGGTCCAGATGCTTCTAATTGAGGATTCTCTGGGGATCTAATCCATTTAAGAAAATACCATTTTAATGCATTTGTCACAATACCATATATTTGTACTTGAGGTTCAGGTTCCATATCTGTCTCATCTATCTTTTGTTTTTGTTTATTTTCTGAAAATGGAATGTTAGATGTCAATAAGCAAGCAATAAAAAACAGAATATAGTATGTACAATATTTCATTTATCTCTACAGCACTATGCATTTGCACAATGTTCTGGGTGGCACCTTTCTCAAAATCCTTTTTTTTAGCTTCACAGACCAATAAAACAAATTCCTCAAGATCTACAGAATAGTCAACAGGACCAAAACCATGACTTCCATCAAGCCACTCTTCACTCTTGAGACAAAGCTTACTTTCTTTTAACTGGACATGTTCAACAGCTGCAATCATAAAAGCAGAAATAAACTCTCTCATTACGATTAACATGAATAAAGATCTTTTTCTTCCTCTTGAGTTCACCAATAAAGGAATTAACTATATCATCAGAAATTTCTGGGTCTGGTTGTGTAAATTTTTCTGTTTAAAAAAAAAGCACACATGTAGGTTATAATCACTCTGATAAATAATCCAAAATAAGAAAACATTGCAAGAATGTTACCTATGTCAAACTGATTGATGTCACCTACTGATGATCCACTCTTATGCAGGAACTTCTCAAAAACTTCACTTACTTCCCATTCTCCATATGCCTTCTTTCCTATAAAGAAAAGAAAACAAATGAGTATTCACTTCACTTCTGCATCTAATTTAAAAACAATCAACCAACCTTGAATTTGAATTGAAAGACTGATCTCACATTTACCACTTTCATTCAGTTTAATGTCCTCCACTACCTTATTGAATGCAAACTCATTTTCAACCTGTTCTTTACTACTTTTCTTTCCATCTTCTTTATAGATAAAAAAATATGAAGGGTTTCCTGCTCTCAAGTTTCAAAGTTTGCTTCAGCTTTGTGACATAGAAGACACCAAAGGCCACTTGTGTGTGGAAATATGCTCTTGAACCAGGATACAGGTAAGTTGCAACGAACTATGACTACAAACAATATACAGATAGGTGTAAATGTGATGGGTATATAGATTCGAAATCAAAAAGATAAAAATATTTTATTTTACCTTCAGAGTTAGAGAATGGGTAACGTATAACCAAAGGACTTGCATCAGTTGTGCTCAAATTCGTGACAAGAGTACCTGCTCGAAGAGGGTTGATTCTGTCATCATGGTTAAAGAATTCAAGGGATTCTGGATCAACATTTTCGAAGGTTTTTTTTTCTTTACAAAGTTTGTGTGCAAGATCGTCCAAGTCTGGTGGTGAAGTATTCCATTCAACAGGGAATTTCATAGGTCTTGGACTGCCTTCGACAAGAATCCAAAGTGTTAACTTCTCAGAACATAATGACATTGCTGATGACGTTTGTGACATTTTTGTTTTATTTTACCTTCTAAATTTTTAAAAAGCAAAAGTTAATGTTAAGTGATAAAGTATATTTATTTATTATCTTTTATTATTATTTAAGTACAATACTGTTTTGATTTTTAAATAATAATTTACAACAATTACATGTCCCCCAATTATTTAACTGGTCCTGTAATCAAATGTTCACTTTGTCTAGTTTTGTTGCAGCAGCATGCCCCATATATGGATGTTTACAGAAGTCATTTAGCAGAATATGCAGTTTGAAAGTATAAATCACATAAGTAAATACCTGAATCTGTATTAAATGAATTAGATAAAATGGGTATGTAATATTTTATAAGTTTACTTTTTTTTATGTTAACAATCTTGAAGAAACATGGGTATATATGTATATTTGAGACCAACAGTCAATAAAATACTAAATATGGTTAAATATTACGCTAATGATCCAAATATATCATAGGTTTATGTATTTTTTCATGCTTGCATTAGATTGTTGTTGCTCATCATCATCCATTAATAGATCATGAAAAAAGATATGATGAAACTCGAGGCAAATTTGTTGTATATCCAGAATACTTTACAAGGCTGTTCGTGTCTGAAATGATTTGACGTTGAGTGGCTCTATTGATTGTATCAGAAAAGAACCGACTTCTAGCGAGTGAATTACATTATTACATGATTCATTTATATGTCATTCTATCATTTTAGTTGTCTTATCTTATTTGAGTTCAGTTGAATGATGGCATAAGAACCCTTTGGCGCGGGTAATGGGAAAACGCTAGAGGTCAGCTATAAACTATACTCAATCTCAAAATAATTTAATGCTCTTTGTCAAGTTAACTTTTGCTTTTGTTCTGTTCGTTTATTTCATCCCTAATTTTCCATAAGTGGTAACCCATTTACTAAGAGTTTTAATCTTGGAATCAATTGTGACTCAACAGTCAAACCATTGTTTCCGGCACTAGATTATCAATCAAACTTTCCTGAACTATGTACAGCCACATACACAGCCAGGTTCTTATTTATCTCAAGCCACATACCTGAATATGTCACAAGCGGATAACTATAATATTTTATATGGGGCAGACTGCAACAAAACCATATGATGTTACAAAATAATTTTGTTAGTATATACATACAAAGCGATAAAACGTCACGATTGTATTGTTGTGTAATGTGATTGTGATATTAACAATTTTTATTAGAATAATTGTGTAATTAATAAAAAACAGATCAGGGTAGGGGCTGAGTCGTTTCAAATGCTCTTTTTGGTCGGACTGTTGCCTAATGGCTTTGTCTTTTACGTATACTTGTCAGGATCTTTTAACTGATTGGCAATCCTTATGTACTCTCCCTAATTTACGCCCTGCTTTCTTGTAGATAAGTTTCTCTTCCTTAGAAGACACAAGATGTATTTGCACATTTACCCAAAGGAAAGTAAACTGCAAAATTACCACTACTATTGAGCTTTTCTTCAAATTCTTCAAAGTCTTTTGATTTATCATCACTAGCATTCTTTGTCTTAATACCAGCACTAATAGTCCATTGTTGCTGTTTCTCGGAAAATTTTCCAGTAGCTTTCAAAAGAGCTTAAATTCTTGTGCCACCTGTTTCCATTACTGGGATTGAGAAGTTGCAAACGCTCATCACAAACTTGATTTTCTTCTTTGATGAAACAATGAACGCCGCCGATGTTGTTATTTGACATATATTTCTTTTTATTATTTATAAATAAATACATCGCCCAAGTAATGATCAAATTTAGGGAACCAATTCTAAGAGAAAATAAAATTAATTTTCCTTTCCCATATCAATGTTTTTATTATAACCATTATAATTATATTTTGATGATGGTTGCATACGATATAGTTCTTTAAAAAATATTCCTAAAATGAACAAGTTTAGATGTCAGGTTTAATAGAATAATCCTTTTTACGTCTATGCAAATTCGTTTTTTGTATGGCAGGGAAAAGCCAAAAAAATCGAATCCACTTATTTTGACTCATTTAATTTGAGAATTAAAGATTTATTGTATCTTCAAGTCGACCTTTTGCTAATTTTCATCCACAAGATTTTCAATGTATAAACTAAATTTATTGTTGAATTTAGAAGAAAAATTGTAATAAATTAGTTTATTAAAAAAATAACAAAATATATTTAAAAACATTAACTTTCCTCTTCAACGGAAATCTACAAACTCTTGTTAATCTAGAAACTCAAAAATTATAATTCCTGATATCGAATAAAATTAAAATACTATTTTTTTTTTCGTAGTTATAAAAAAAAAGAAATTAATAAAATAAAATAAAAGAACGGAGAATTTAGAAAATTTTCTCGTGATTATCCGACTAACTCATTTCAATGACTTTTTGTTTAATTCCAGAGATCATTCGTCGTCTGAAGCAAGTACCTGAACATAGAAGAAGTCCTAACAGACTCTTAAAGAACCTGGATGCAATTTCAATAAAATTCACGGCATTCCCTATTTTCTATTAGATTATTTCAAAAAAGATATTAGATGTATATCCTTGTTTATATCCTCTTTTTAATTTCTGTGATACAATAAGGTGATAGTAAAAATTTCTTATCGAAACAAAACTTATTGGATCAGTTTTAATGCCAGTTTAAAAGTGTATAAAATCCATAATTTTTTTTTAAAATGTTAAAATATCACCTCTAAACATCTAATTATATGCAGGATTTACTCATTCTGTTTGTGTTCTTATAATTAAATAGCTATATCAATAATAAAAAATACTCATTTCACATTAGATACATATAATAATATAACAAATTTAGCGTTAAAATAGATTCTCAATTATTTATTTACCTTTAGTTTATACATATAATTAACAAACTAATAATAAAAGGCTAATCCAATTGTTAATAATTTCATTCATAAAACTGACACTTCATGACCAAATCGTACAACCAAGAACGTCTGCATGTATCACGTATAAACTTTCTTGTCCTTTTTTCTATGTAGGCAAGTCCGTATGTGTATCATTCCGCAGTTTTGAAATTCATCATGTTTGAAGAAATGCTTTCAAAAAATTTTTTTATGAACAAAATCTATTTAATCGATTTAATGCTAATTTAAAATGCAAGTTATCTGTAAAATCCCAAGTGATCTAATTATTGCAAATAATATATCTGCTCATCCTGTTTTGTTTGTGTTGCTTATAATTAAATAGCTATATCATTGAGTAATAGAGAAGTACTCATTTCACGTCAGAAAAAATATATATATATAATGAATTTCAGCATTAAAATAAATTTATTACCTTTAAATTTAGTCGCCCAATTTTAATATAAACCAACTATATAATAATAAAAAACTCCTCTAACTGTTAATGATTTCATTCATAAAAATAATAAATTTTTGTTTGTAAAAAAAAACATATATAGTAAACGTGTAAATAGAAAATAACAATACAATTTTGTCACGTAAAATTCGAAATATCACATTTTATTTATTATGTAAATGTCCAATTTCAACCTGTATGTCGGGGAATTTTATATTAATAACTAAAAAACCATGTGACATAGACATATTCAAACGGGTTTTTATTTATTATTTAAATATTACGAATATATCTAGCATCTGCCTCAGCACCAAAATTTTTCAATTGTTTCCATCTTGTGGGTTCACTGGCATCTTTTATTATCAATATTAATATTTGTGGTGGATCTTTAATTTAATGCCTTTTATGACTAAGTCATAATCAAGGCCCTTTTATATATCTAATAACTATAATAAACCTTTCCATATGTGAATTTGGTTCTAACTTTCTTAATTTGACGCAAAGCCTTTAATTTAACGCAAAGCCCTTTAATTTAACACAGCCTTTTAATTTAATCATAGCCTCTTTAATTTCGACGCACAGCCCTTAATTCAACATACATACCACAATCTCTTTAGTAACATACCTCTTTATTCTGCCACAGCTTCTAACTAAACTCGCACTTTATTCTTTAGACTCTTCTTGGCAGCGAAAAAAAAATTGTTACATATAATAATTTGATTTTAATGGATATAAAATGTGACAATATAATTTAGATTTTTACCAAAATTAGAAAAATTTTAGGGAAAATCAAGATTTGTATGGAACGTGTAACATTGATCACAGCAAAAAATTTAAGGGTAGAGGATCTTCATATTACAAAATCGAATATGAAAAATGTCCAAAAAAATTTCCCGTGACATATTTAAATACAACGTGACATATCTTTTATTATTCCTTTATAAAATCATATAGAATGTATTGCTAAGAACTATAGTTTTAACTGTATGTAAAAAAACTAAAAGTTAGTATTAAAAAATAAAGACTTATATTATTAACGAAGTTCAAATTCCTGGCGAATCACATATAAAGTTAGCGAATCACTAAGTAATAATTTGCAAATGACTGTTAAAGTCATGAAGACCTATTTTAACTTCCATAAACATATAAATATCTGTGTTAAATGCAATAATATTTATTACTTAAAGTCACAATGCCTAATTTTAACTTATTAATATTTATACTACATATCTTTGAAATGAGATTTAATTCCCTAGTTTTTATTTTATACATACGTTTTAGTAATAATTAATATAATAATAAGCAAATAAATATATAATATTTTGTTAATATTTTTATTTATTTTAGGATTCCCATGCATAATAATAATAATCGAATCTATCTAATATACATGTGGATCTTTCAATTGAAGGTGCTACTGCAGTGATAATGCAATGTTGTATACATATACCTATTACAGCAGGATATTTTGACAATGGTTAAATGTTTATTAAGGTGTACAAAAGTTTATTAATTTTGGAATTCGAATACAAAATTCTGATTGGCTAATTTGAATTTCACGCGCGTGAATTTTAAATTGACGCAGATTCCAAATTCACGCACAACTAGAGATGCGATCCGTGGATGATGAATCCGGATATCCGTAAAACAATCCGGATGGACGGATGGGTTTTTTAAAATGCTAACGGATTGCGAATTGAGATTTTAGAAATTATTATTATTATTATTATAGTAGATAGGATATCCGGATGATCCGTGTAAATAAAATATTAATATTAATATTAATATTATAATTCCCCAATCAGGATTTTCGTGTAATAAATTCAAAAAATAAAAAATTACGATTTGTATGTACGCGTTATAATGAATTTATACATAATCATAAAATAATTTATTTAATATATTGGAAGAGGAATAT